GGGAAAGTTGTTCTAACGCCGCTCACCTTCCGTTTCGGCCTCGGATCGCTCCTGCTGCTGGAACTGAGTGAAGAGGATTCGGGCTCGCCTCTCCAGATCAGAGCCGGGGATATTAAGCCTGACATAAATGATCAGCTGCTTCAGGCAGGTGTAATCCGGCGGCTTGCGGAAGTCTTCGGAGTATTGATCGAGCCAGGCTCCCAGGATGGATGAAATGGTGCTGAGGGGATCAAGAGGGAGAAGGAGGCTTAAGACTTTGGATGCATTTATTCATGGAACTGTTTTGTTGCTCGGGTTGAAATGGGGGTCCTTGCGGGCTCTCTGAGCTTGGTGGTTTTCTTGTAGACGTTTCATGACCTGACTAGGTAACGTCATGTGCTATAAGGATGTGGGGAGAGGAGGAGGAGGAGGAGGAAGAAGAGGAAGAAGAAGAGGAGCAGGAGGAGGAGGAAGGAGGAGGAAAAAGAGGAAAAAAAGAAGAGGAGGAGGAGGAAAAAGAGGAAGAAGGAAAAAGAGAAAGAAGGAGGAAGAAGGAGGAAGGAGCAAAGTCAGTGGAGAAGCCAGATTCGCTTAACAACCATGTGACTAATTTAAGAACTGCAGTGATTCACTTAACAACGCTGGGGAACAAAGCCGTAAAATGGGGCAAAACTCCCTTAACCAATGTGTCCCTTAGCCACAAAAAATCTGGGCCTCCATTGTGGTCGCAAGTTGAGGAGGACCTGGGCTTTTAAAGTTACGATTTCCCCTCTGGGTTGGGAGGGTGGAGGAGCAGCTTCCCCTGGAGAAAGACTCTTGATGGCTAGAAACGTGGAAGAAAGGCCATGCGAAGCAAGAGGCGCTTACTTTTTCAACTCCAGCTTCTCATCCACCGCCTGCTTGGGGTGATCTCCGTTGGCCTGGAGGTTGAACTTCCCATACCTGGATAGAAAAAGGAGAAAAGGAGGTTCTGTACGCAAAACTTTAAAATTATTATTATTTTTTAACAGCACATGATCGCTATTTGTTAGGTAAGTGAAGCTTCCTATCTATCTATCTATCTATCTATCTATCTATCTATCTATCTATCTATCATTGATTCTTTTTTTTCTCCATCTATTCATGAATTAGTTATCTATCTATCATCTATCTATCTATCATC